AAAAGGAAAATGGCAGATGTTCATTGTAAACGAGAAAAAGTCCCAGCGTTTCTAAGTGTATGAAAAATATTGTAGAACTGGTTCAATTTGATTCAATTTTGCTGCGTTTGAATTTTAGCATTATCTCATCAGGCTCCATACAAGAATCTTCGGTTTCTAGAATATTGAGAAGAGCTCTTTTTGTTTCTTTTTTGAAGGATTTCTTGACAAATTTTAGTATTCATTGAGTTTCTCATTCCATACTGTGACACCAACGCACGAAAAGGCTTTTTTTGCATTTTAAGCCTAGAGTACTAAACGCTATAGAGTTGTGACGTTGATGAGCGAGTAGTACATGTATAGATGTTTGAAGTTCTCGCAAAAGGTTTCATGATATCAGAAGATGCACTGTCGTTATGGACATCGAGCATTCATTTACATTCAGCTTCATAATATAAGAAGGTAAAAGGCAGAATTTTCGCATTTACAAACAAGGGGATTGCATGATCGTTTCTATCAACAAAGTAGATTAGACGTAATACTCGCTTTTGGAGAACAACAATTTTGTTTAGATAGTTTTTAGACGTATTACCCCAAGCAACGAGTCCATAAGTTAAATAAGTCAAAATTAAGGATTTATAAATATTTGTGAGTGCAGATGATGGAACAAAGTATCTCAGCTTAGCAATCATTCCTATGGTCTTATTTATTCTAGTGATAACACAGTCCAGATGGATTTTCCAAGAAAGATTTTCATCGATCAAAACACCTAAATATTTGATGCAACTCCAAGCTGACTCTTCTATTTTTTTCACTATCAGATATACTTATTTCTGGAAGATAACGGATTTTCTTTTGTCTGGGCGAAGAATTACGAGATTTGATTTTTTTGTATTCAAAGTCAATTTATTTGTAGTCAGCCAGTCTCAGATCTTGTTAGTAATTCTCTTTACTGTCTGCCATGCATGAGATAATTGTGATTTTAGTCCGAAGAATTCGGTATTGGATCAACAAATGATCTCCTTATTGATATTTTTCTTTATTCTTATCACTTGTCTGTCTGGTATTGTGTTGGTATTGTAACAAGAACTTCTGTCTTGGTCACGCATGGGAGTATAAGTTTAAAGGATAATTATATATGTTTCAGAAACAAAATCTCTACCATTAAAGAGTATACCTGATGTGACTGCATTTAAGATTCCAAAGAGTAATTGATGAAGCCTTTCAAAAATCCTCTTCACATGCGTGAAAAATTCGACTACGGACAGTGCTATATTGAATCTTGCTTAGCCGCCTAGCCGCCTAGCGGTTATGCAAGATTCAATAAGGCCATGCTCTCGTCCCAACGAAGTCTTGCTTCCCTCTTTCCCATTTCAATTAGCATAAAATTACACTAAAAGGCATTGTGTTTGCGAACCGCGTTTTATTGGTCAGTACGCGTGTGCAACTCTTGGTAACAAAGCTTTTATCAGAGAATTCGCCTAAATAAAATACTAAAGACCAGTATAAGGATTTTTTTGACGTCATTATATCAGGCAGGAATAAATTCAGATTCTTCGACGTAAGGCCTAAACAGTCCAACGGTTCAAGTTAAAAATGACACTTTGCTATCAGATATGTGCTTTGGCTTTTCATTCATACAAATTTAAATAAATTTCTGCCCAAAACAGAGCTTTTCAAAATGTTTTACAGAGTGGATAAAAGGTGGCTTTATGATCTCTCGTGGATGAGAAACTAATTGAGAACAGAACTTTCTAAAAAATTCTAACGTCACCGCACGTTATAGCTTCAATATTTCGGAAGTGTTCTGAAACTCTAATGATTCGGCCGGAGCATTTCTTAAAGTCTTCTAAAATCATTAAAAGTATACCTTTGCAGCTACATTTGTAGAACTTCAGTTTGACAGAAACACTGCAACATACTTTTCGAAGGCACTCAAGCACTTGACTCAAATATTTTCCGCACAGGTTCATGTGCTCTTTACGTTTTGTTTAGTAGTAGCGCCTAAGGATGGCACGGGCCAGAATGATTTCTGTTAGAATTTGTGAGCGTGACTAAGCGTGACCAGGCGTGACGCACTGATGTACGCGCGCCTAGCCTTATGGGCTGTGCGACCTCGCGCTTCCGTCTTCTTTGAAAGGAATCTTGGCTTTTGTTGTGTTTGTAAGTACAGTCCCGAGTTGCAAGATTAAAATGTTCATATTGGAACCTTGAGTGGACCTAAAATAACTTTCTAACATTGGTCCTTCGAGCCGGATGCGAACTAGATGAAATCCTGAAATCTTGAAATCCTGAAAACCTTCGAAGGGGAGATATTCTGCTCTCGACTACTCTACGGCGGGCGGGAAAAGAACGGAAGGAAGAGTACATCACAAGTGTCTGTCAAGTCTTTAAGCAACGTCAAGTCTACAAGCGACGAAACCTCAACAATTTCTTGGGAACTGACAAAGAAAAAAGGCTTCAGAGCTGGACATCGAAATTCCGCCGAAAGGAAATTGGAGAGTACGAATGAAATTCTTAATTCTTTGGGTGACGACGCGTCGAGTGTTTCAAAACAACGGGCAACACTAATCTTCTACAAGTCCTCTCTAAAGGAAAAGTTGGGCGTTATCCAGGGACTGGATAAAAAGATTCTCGATTTATCAACGGAGGAAGAAATTGACAGCGAAATTGAAGAAACTGATCAATTTTGCAGTCACGTAGAATTGGTTCTTGCCGGATTAGATAAAACGCTGGCCGCCATTTCTTCAAAAATAGAAGCCAGCACTCACATGTCAAAGATGACATGATGAGCTAAGTTTACCAGCTGAATGTCAAGAGACAATTCTAATCAAAACCTTTGGGTTGCAAGACGAGAAGGTGCAGACTTGTGATGCTGCTTACTTTGGTGTTGAACTACCTAATGGAACAGATATGAAGTTGTCAGCCTATTCTGTACCACTTATCTGTGAGCCATTTACTGGTCAGTCAGTAGCCCTGGCGAGGCACATGTACAAGCACCTCAATGGAATTCACCTTGCCGATTACTCAAAAGGAGCAGAGGCAGCAGAAGGGGACATACTAATTGGATCAGATCAATACTGGCAAACGTCCCCGCAGGGGAAGTAAGAAGAGGAGAAAGTGGTCCAACAGCTTTACATACAAGGATGGGTTGGGTTTTATCTGGACCAATAGAGAGCTCAATGTGTGACTATGACCCATCTGTTCACTTGGTTTCCAGCATCCATGTTCTTAAGTTCAAAATAAAAATCGGATAAGTTTCATTGTTTAGAAACTAAGCGTTTCAGTTGCCTGCCGACGTGATACAACCTTACTTTTGTAAGAATCAAATTGTTTTCTCGATGAAATAACTTTTCAAAGGTAACCCTAAGTTTTAACTATCTTTTACTGAAGGTTTTAGGTAGAATTTTGATTCTTGGTTCAAAGGAATAAGTCCATCCACAGATCTTCCAAGTTTCCTATTTGGAAACTCTGGGAACAAAGGGCTCATCTAAGGCCATGTAGGTGGTTTGTTGTGTCTGTGTAACAGTTGTAACTAGTTGTCACAAGGGTTTGAATAATGAATTTAGCTTTGCGTCCCAAAAAGTGACCTTAGGTAGAATTAAGATCATATTCTAATTGTAAATGAATTTAAAAGAAGGTGATCTGTTGCGCGTGGATTGTTTAAATTCAATTAGTTACCTAAAATTATCCCGTTGCAACAATTTTGCTTGAATATCATCACGTTTATGTTAAATGGAAAGATATTTCCATACCATTAAGAAACTTTCTGGATGATAAATATACTTTAACCGTTTTCTTCTGATCGTGAATTGATATAAGAGCTTCTAGGACCAGGTACGGGTTGATAATTTTTTTTCCTTGACCGTTTCAATTCCCCCATTTTTTAATTTAGAAAATCTCTTCATCTACGAATAAACGTTACTCACAGTAAATGGCAACTTTTGGATCGAGGTAACACCGGAGATATTCGGTTACTAAGTTGGGGTAAATTTTTCTCTGTTCAAGGCGGCCTGAAGCGACATTTGAACGTTGGGATCATGTATTGTTAAAACCAGACATTTTCTATATTTTTGTAAATTAATGCTAAGAGGAAGGGAAGATCGTTTCACGGATAGCACGAGAGCTTGAGAAATATTTACGATAGGACTCGAGTTGAATTCAAAAGATCACTTTCGATCCGTCATATTGGCGGGCAAGTATGGGCAGACCAAGTGCACTTTCCCGTTTTTTTGCCAAGCAAAAATAACTGGAGCTTTTTCATATTCACTTCGTGATTAGGACCCTAAAGGAAGACTTTATGCCAAATCTCAGCCAAATCGATGAAATGAAGTGGCCGACGAAAGTTCAAAAGTTAGACTATCGCTCTTGAGAGGTTATTCGTATTCGTCGAGGCGTAGCATTGAAAAATAAGGAAATTAGATTCACATCAGTCAATAACCACTCCAAATAATGGCCATTATTTAGACTTACTCATGCACAGAGGATTTTGTTTTGATTTTTGACGTGATTTGAATAGCAGCTGAAAGCCACTTTTAAAACATATTTCAAATCACAACAATGCTCTCTCAGCCGTTTTTTCGTCTTTGTGAGCGAAATAAAAAGGTATTGATACTTAAACTTCCTTCTTAAAAACGTCACTCTTTCAGTTTCTAGCTAGTATCAGGAGCCGTGGTCTTGTTATTACAGCTAAATTTCCCTGAAAATAACTGTTTTTCCAGAAGGACGTAAAGGCCGCTGATCAGTGTTAACGACGATGCAACTTACGTCAACAAGTATTCAATTACGGAACGCGCCTGAGGTGTGTTGCCACAAAATGCCGCGCAGTTTCGCTTTCGTAAACCAACGTCTATTTTAGCCTATTAACGCGGGTAAACATTAACAGGCAATACTTATTAATAGCTCTAGAAGGGGAGACATTATAATAGTTGTTTCCTTTCCTTCCGCAAGCTCTTCAAATAACTCTTCTTTACGCCCTGAAGATATCACTTGTTTTATTCGGGCATTCTACGGCTTCGAAAATGACGAATCATTCGGAGGAGCAAGAAAACTCAAGGTTGTCAAGGAGCAAAACGTGTGTTTGTTTCCTGATTGCAGCCCTTGGTTATATTTTAATCGCAATAAGCCTCCTTCTCTTCATATTCACCATTTTTGAGTTGTTTACTAAAAACTCAAACTCAGCCATTAGCAAAGGAACCAGTGCCACGGTGATGATGATATTTGGAGTGACTTTGGTATTGTTAGTACGTGTGCAACTCAAAAAAGGATCAAAATTTTCCGCCGTCCAAGTTGAAATATTTGCGATTCCTGCGGAAGATTTGGCAAAATCTCCGGTCCTAACACTTCCATATAACCATACTCCTCGCCGTCAGCCATTCGTTGGGGCCTCTTCGATAGATTTGCCGGATTATTTTACTGCTGTCCAGGATTTAAATGAAGTTTATTCATCTGTGGATGCTGCATTTGGTACGGATGACGCTCCACCACCAAGTTACGAAGAGGCACTTAAAATGGCCTCCATAACTAGTCAAGAACACAAGTCACATTCTTTTTCGCTATCGGGACAAGGATAAAACGCAAAACTCTGAAGATCAATGATCAAACTTATGAACTATTCTGTAACTACGAACCACATGCTACCGCGCGAGTTATAATTTAAGGACATGCATAGACACGTTTGGATAGAGCAAAAGTTCTTCGTGAAATGGTTTGCGGTACAACTAATTTTATTGCTCAGTAATTTTCAGCAATTTTCCAAACAAGATGAAAGTTAAAACGAAGGCTTTGCTGATTAAAAATATAGGATGAAAACAACTGATATAGGTATCACGTTTTACATTGTTATGATCACAACAACACTGAATAGAATTTTAACCCCCGCGGTCATTAAGTCATTTTATCCTTATTTAACTTGTTTAAAGCACCAGGGAGTATTTATGCTTCTTAGGATTGAATTCAGCGTGACCACATTTGCATTGAAAAATTTTCAATGTTTAGGATCTGTATTAGCCGTTCGAAGCAACATAACACGATATTACGCGTTCGCTTTTTGGATATCCCGTAGGAAAAAGTTTCTTTTTGAGCTCCTCTATCATTTTCAAATGATGTAATGCTATTTGATTGAAGCTCTGTACGTCACAAGACTAATATTAAAGACTTAAATACTTGCACATGAAACCTTTATTTCCTCAGGCCTTGTTTCATGTTATCATTTAGTTCCCTCTGATCACGTCTTGAATTACGCTCTTAACCCTTTTAACCCCCAGATCTCATTAGCAATTCTCCTTACTGTCTGCCATGAAATAATTATGATGTTAGTTCGGAGAATTCGGTATTGGATCAACAAATGATCTCCTAATTGATATTTTTCTTTTTTCTTATCACTTGTCTGCCTGGTATTGTACGATATTGTAAGGAGAAACTCTGTCCTGATCACACATAGGAGTAAAAATTTTAAAGGAGAATGATATATGCTTCAGAAACAAAATCTCTACCATTAAGAAGTATTCATGATGTGACTGCATTTTGAGATTCCAAAGAGTAATTGATGAAGCCTTTCAAAAATCCTCTTCACATGCGTGAAAAATTCGACTACGGACACGCTATAGTAAATCTTGTTTAGCCACCTAGCCGCCTAGCGGCTATGCGAGATTCAATAAAGCCATGCTCTCGTCTCAACGAAGTCTTGCTTCTCTCTTTCCCATTTCAATTAGGAATTACACTGAAAGGTATTGTGTTTGCGAACCGCGCTTTGTTGGTTAATACGTGAGCAACTCGTGGTAACAACGCTTTTATCAGAGAATTCGCCTAAAGCTCGATATTGTGGCGCAACTTGTACGAGGGAGTTAAAATACTAAAGACCAAGTTTATGATTTTTTTTGGCGTCATTATATCAGACAGGAATAAATTCAGATACTCTGACGTAAGGCCTAAGCAGTCCAACGGATCAAGTTGAAAATGTCACTTTGCTATCAGAAACGTGCTTTGGCTTTTCATTCATACAAATTTAAATAAATTTCTGCCCAAAACAGAGCTTTTCAAAATGTTTTACAGAGTGGATGAAAGCTAGTATTATGATCTCTTGTGGACGCGAAACTAATTGAAAAACAGAACTTTCCAAAAATACTAACGTCATCGCTCGTTTTAGCTTAATTAATTCAAAAGTCGTCTGAAACTCTACTGATTCGACTGGAGCGTTTCTTTAAGTCTTCTGAAATCATTAAAAGTATATCTTTGCAGCTACATTTGTAGAACTTTGACAGAAATACTGCAACATACCTTTCGAAGGCATTTAAACACTTGACTCAAATGTTTGTCGCACAGATTCATGTGGTCTTCACGTTTTGGTTAGTAGTAGCGCCTAAGGGTGACACGGGCCAGAAATCCTTACAAAAAGTCGTCGATTAAACCTTGACGTCACGCCTATAGAGGGACTTCTTGAGAATAATCTAACAGTTTCGACTTCTTGCAAACTCCAACTCGCAAAAAAAAAAAAATAAATAAATAAGTAGAAATGCGTCCTATTGCTGTGTTGATTGTTCCTCGTTCATTATCTTTCGTATGCTCTTGATGTAAATCCCTAACAAACCTTACACAATTTCTAAATAAATTTATTTTTACTTACAAAAAAACCCTTCATGCGTACAACCGGAAGTCTGATCACGTTTATTTTTTAGTTTGGTTAAATTATTTTCGTATACCACTTAACTTGCGGAATACCCAACACGCAAATTGCACGAACGAGAAAAGGGACAGCGAAATAAATGATCAAAATGTTACTTAAATTTGCCAATTTTACAAGGATTGTTAAAATGTCTTAGCATGAATGAACACGCGGGAAAACGAAAAAACCTACAGCTGTTACACCATTGTAATCCTACTGACACTATCTTCTTCCTTAAAATTGTTTGTATCTGCCTCGTTTGTCGTAAAAGCTAAAGCAGCCATTTCGAGAGCTCTTTCATAACTCGGTGGTGGAAAATTGGGGACATCTTCCGTCCAGACTCCGGCGTCCACAGTTGAATAAAGATTGTCAGCGTTCGCAACAGCAGTAAAGTAATCAGGCAAATCTGAGGTTGTACTAAAAAACAGATGACTCGAAGAAATGTCATTATGTTGAAGATCAGGAGCAGGCGATTTTTCCAAATCTTCTGCTGGGATCGTAGAAATAACGACTGACTCTGCAACTTGACGGGCGCAGCACTTTTTTGATCTTCTAAAATATCCTCCCAGCAAGCCAAAACCGAGAACAAACAATGAAAGACCAACAGTCGACAAAATCTGTATTAATGTGTTTGGGTCACTTTTGCCCACTGAACTCTGCTTGCAGTCACTACAACTTGCCTGAGCCATTAGTACAATCACAATTCCAAAGTTAAACGCACCAGCTCCAAAACAGAGGAGAGCGAAGATCAATAGGATTAGGGAACACTTACGCGCTGTGCTTAACACTCTCATGGATTCCTGAGTTTGGTTTGTTACTTGAACATCATCTGCCATAGTAACACGGTGTTTTTCCGGCCGCTCTTTCTTCGTATAGTGCGACTCTCTTGTGCGTCGCCTATGCTTGTTATCTTAACGGAAGTTCTCGTCAGAATTGTCATGGGCTTTTTGCAAACCTCCGCTTTGTACCTTTTGGTCAGGACACCATCAGAGCAATTATTCCGGCCATTCCAACGACGTCTATCTTGCTTCAATGGTCTTACGTGAGCAAAATAATATTACAATGAGACTGGTGGCAGTCATCGTCCAAAAACACGTGTTTTTCTTAAGAACCAAGTTCACGTTCAAATGGCCACGTGTTCATGAAGAGCACATCACGTTTTTAGGTAAATCAGGATCACTCATCAAGGTTGCACATATGAAAGGGGCATTAAGGGGCTCTGAATATCATGATATCGCAAAAATAATAAAGCAAACACCGCCAAATCGCAAGAAAAATCGACGCAACACCAATATCACCGTATTTATTGCTATTCTTCTTGAGTTCATTTTTAGCAACATGACATGGTGTAGGATCATAATGATATTGATAATGACAATAAAAATAACTTGGACAATGATAGTATTTAAAACAATGAAATAATTTATCTTAATATTATTTATGGCAACACAATATATTTGTGAACGTAGACAAATACAATGTTTACAAAAAGAGGGTAAGTTTCCGGATAAACAGTGGTTTCTGCATCGGCGGGAGGTATTACTGACAAAGTAATTTGGTTTTGTCAACTGAAATGATAATGTAAACTGATCACGTAAGGAGTTTCAAAGCTGACCTTTCGAGTGCCGCGTTGGCGTTTCGTGAGAGCGAAGAGAAATTAGAAGAAAAGGAAAACTTCAGAGGAATGTCACGAGATTAGGCAGTCTTCGCTCGTGCTGGAGAGCAAGGGCGTCCAGCATGGATCTCAATCGCACTCGTATCTTTGGCAGCTCAGACGTGGCTTCACGAGGTCGGTAATATACCTAACAGCGTGGAAAACTGAGAACGTGATCCGTTCGAATCTTCATGCGTTCTTATTGAACCATTATTATTAATTAATTTGCTTCTGCAAATTTGTTGAAGTAGAGTGTTTGAAAATATGGCAATTAAATTAAAATTAGTAAAAACAACTTCAAGTAATGATAATTACCATGCATGGATGATTTATGCTGTGATTTTCATTGTTTTGTAAATAGCGGTTGAACGCCACTTTTGAATCATTTTGTTCTTCAGTTCAAAACGTGACTTTCTGGTCGTGCTTTTACCTTTTCGGAAAAACTGAAGACAAAAGCTATCCTCAACTTCTAACGGCTTCCGGGAAAAGTTGAATATCAAGAACGAAGAATCGAAGCTCCTCAGAATATTGTCTATTTATCACACGAAAGCATGTTTTACATATTGACTCTTCTTGCCGACGTCCACAGAAACAGTAAAACGGTCGCTGTTTAGTGCCGTCTCCACAGCAACGAATATTTAATTCGATAAAGAACCCTAAGTGCAGACGTTTTTGAGACGTGCACGGCGGCCAGAAGTTGAGAGTTTTTCAACTCTCTCTCCTCTGAGATCACTGGTTCTTCCGGCTCTAGCATCCTTTTGGAAAAATCTTAAAATATCTTTCCTCAACAACTGAACTGTTATATGGCTTGTCAACACGTTATTTGCTATATCTGTTGTTTAGATTTACTTCTCTTGTAATACTTTTAAGGGAACCTAAGCCTAAAAACCTTAATGGTTTTCAGCAAGTCCCCCCTCCCCTCCATTAACCCTTTTTGTTTGTTTGATTTATTTACAAATTGTTCTAAGTTGTAGAAATATTTTTATATGTAATGGCAAATAAAAACGATAAAACGTAAAATACTGAAATAAGCTTTTTTCTTTTCCCCTGGCGCTTGCTATACGTACATTTTTTGTCTGTGCCGTTTATAACTTCAGAGGCCTAGGGGAAGGTATACTGGACCTCCTACTGACAGTCGTATCTGCGTGCAGTTAACTTCCTGTGGGAACCGATTTTTTCAAAAAATAGACGCAGGTTTTCTATCGAAACTGTAAATGTATTCATTTGTACGACTATCTCCTTTTACTTTGTATAAGGACTGATCGGAAAGTTACTGTTACATCCTCATTTCAACATAAGTCAACTGTTATGTGGAAGTTTCCGAAAGCCACTTGGAAGTAAAAACGATGGTATAATTTGCGTCAATAAGTTATTTTGATAACATGATTCAGGATGCTGGAGGATGTATCATGCGATTTGCATTTTCCAGCGCCTAAGGTACATTGCTACTACTGCCTGTAGTTACACTTCTGTTGACGAGGGATCAACCTATATTTGCAGAAGCAACGGCTTTTCATAAAGCGCGTCTCCCTTTTATTCAACGATTGCTGAATTTACGCTTTGAAGATATCATCAGTTTTACTTTGTCATTCCAAGTCTTCGAAAATGACAAGTACAAATGATTCTGTGGGACGAGAAAACGCGAGGTTATCAAGGAACAGAAAAAAAGTTTCTTTCGTGGTTACAGTTCTCACTCTTATTTGTTTCGCTGGCAGCCTTATTCTGTTCGTATTCGCCATTTTCGATCTTTCCTATAAAAACTCAACTGTTAGATTTGCAATCATTGCCTCAGTACTCCTGGTTGTTGGATTAGCATTGATAGTGTTGGTACGACCCAAGAGACTATCAAATGATTCTCAGGCTACGATCTCGACGATTCCTGTGGAAGTTTTGGCGACTTCTCCGTCTCCTATTCTTCCTGACAGCCATATTCCTCGCCGTCTTCTGTCTCTTAGGACCTCTTCGATGGACTTGCCAGATTATTTTACTGCTGTCCAGAATATTGATGGAATATATTTATCCGAGGAAGATGCAGTTTGGATAAAAAGGTTTCCAGAAACTCCACCACCATGTTACGATGATGCTCTCAAACTGGCTTTTATAACCGGTGAGGAAAGCTCGCCGATGTCTTTAGTAGAATTTAGAGGTGGAGGGGAAACAACACTCTGATAAATTTTCTTAGTAGAAATTTAACCACAACGCATATATCTAATTAGCATGTCAAAAGTTCCGAGCAAGACTACTTTTATCAAGCTCATGAAGCAGTTTGTCACTACGAATCTCACATGCTACTACTAGTAATAGTTTAAACCACTGAAACGTTTTGAAGGTTTAAGAGATCTGAAACTTGTTTTAATATTACCTCACGTTAAGTTGGGTCGTTTCTAGGGGAAACGTTTTAAACGATTTTCCTCCGTTTCTAGGAGAAACGTTTATAATGATTTTAACAGATATTCTGTTCAAGGCAATAGGAATACCATTTGAATATATTATAATGAATTATATAACAGATATTACAACAAATGTACAGTGACGAATTTCGCCCGTGACGTAGTAGTTTTTAATTTACGATTTTTTGTGCCCAGATCTCATTAGTAATTCTCCTTACTGTCTGCCATACAGTTCTTGGGATGTTAGTTTGGAGAATTTAGGATCAGATCAACTTATAATCCCCTAATCAATATTTTTCTTTATTCTCATCACTTGTCTGCTTGATGTTGTAATGATATTGTAAGGAGAAATTCTGTCTTGGTCGCTCATGGGAGTTTAAGTGTTAAGATAAATTTGGTTTGGGTTTTACGACGCTCCATTGAAATTTCTCTAAATGTATTCCGATGTAAAATGTATAGATATTCTTGTGCTTGCAGCTAAAAAAAAATATTTAGCCGGAAGTGGACGAGCCATTTTTTTTTGGGGGGGGGGGGGGGGCAATTGGCACCACTCTACGTCTGTGGCTTCGAAACTTAGCTCGTATTAGCACCAAACTAATACTTAGGATCGGAGTTGTGGGAGCAACTGCACGCCTACCCCTCCCATAAACCAACAGTAACCATAACTTATTTCCAGTTGACGTTGTTGTATTAAGGGAAGGTAGGTACACAGTTGTTTAGATATTGACATTGATCCTGTACAGGCCAAAACATCGTCTGGGCCTTTTCTTGTTTCGCTTTTTTTTTTTTCGTTTTGGCTTCTTATTCTGCAATAAGTTCAATTGATCCTGTCGGGATCATTTCAATGGGTTTTTTTTAATTATCGTAAGGTCCAAATAAAATTTATTTCATTTAATTGAGACTTTGTTTGCTTTGAAATCAAACAGGAAGTCATCCGTGAATCAAAGTGTGACGTCACGTCAAGAAAGAAAGACTTCGAGTTTAAACTTTATTAATAGTTTCAACTTCGTACGACCACAGCAAGCCCATGCTTACACTTTGAGCCTCCGAAAAATATGAAAATGAAAATATCAAAGTTTTATGTATAGGGAAAAAAACGGAGACTTAAAACTCTCGAGGTAAACTGTCGTAAATCAGCCCAGAAAACTTACAAAATGCACAAAAAGGAGGCTACCTCGTTTATATTCGAAATAAGTTCAGTTTTTGGCTTGATAATGGGGCCGTTCATTCGGATACAAATCCCAAGATATATTTACATATTTAAAGAGGTTCATTGTGCGAGTGTGGGTTACCTGTGCTGAGACACAACTTAACATGCGTGCATCTTAAAACAGAAGAGTGCATATTACTCAGTTATCCTAACGTGGATGATAAATTAATAGAAAATGGATATCATTGCTTCGTTGCGAAGTATCTCTGTATCCATAGTCCCTCATCGACTTTATCCTGGTTCTTGGTTCCAGTACGTCAGGGAACAGTTCGGACCATTAACAAAGAGACAAGTTCCACGTTTTTAAACGCGCGAACCGTTCTTTGGAATTAAAAAAATAATCATTAGTAAGTGAACCTTTGTGCGCGTGCTAACCGCCAGCCTATTCAATCACCTTTTTGTCAATACTCATTTTTTTAAACCTTTTTTTGCTAACCTTTGACCTAGCATGTTTGGTACGCAAATTAAAAAAAAAACATAAGTCACGCGAAAATTGATAAAAATCTACAAAGCAGGACGGTCAAAATATAATATGGAGAGGTGAAATGAAGAGATAAAGTTATCCCAGGCTTATTTCTTCACTTTCGATGACTCCTTCTTTGAAATTGTTCGTATCCTTTTAGATTGTCGTATTAGCCAAAGCAGGCATTTTAAGCGCTTCTTCATAACATGGTGGCGGGGTTTTGGGGATATCTTCCGACCGAACTTCGGCGTCTGCAGCTGAATATAAACCATCAATATTTCTGATGGCGGTAAAATAATCAGGCAAATCTGAGGCTGAACTCATGTACAAATGACGTGGGGAAACATGGTTATCGTGCAGAACAGGAGCAGGCGATTTTTCCAGATTTTCTGCTGGAATCGCAGAGACAACAACTAACTCAGCAACTGGACGGGTGAAGAACTTTTTGGATCTCTTGCAATAACCTCCCAGGAAGCCAAAACCGAAGACAATCGACGAAAAGGCAACAATAGACAAACTCTTTCCCAATGAGCTCTGCTTGCAATCATTACACCTTTCTCGAATGAGTAGGAAAATCACTGCACCAAAGATGAACACCCCAGCTCCAAAACAAAGAAGAGCGAGGAACGCGAGAATCAAGGATCCCTTCTTTGCTGTAATCGATTCTCTCGTGGATTCCTGTGCTTCATTCGCTACCTGTGGATCATCTGCCATTTTGAAACGGTATTGTTCACTACTTTTCGATATTACATATGCCTCTTTTTTGTGTTTAGGCTGATCTTGTTATTTGACGGACTCTCATGGGCTGTTTGCAGACCTCCACTGTGAACGTTACGCGCATGGGGCTCATTAAAAAAGTTTTGGCAAATTTTCGGGCACTATACGCCAAAAATTATTATATTGCTCTGTATACCAGACGTTAAAGAACATTTCCGGCTATCTAAACGATATTTTTGCTGCTCTGTTTGGTTTTACCTACGTAAGAAATTATATTTGGAAAATTACTGAAGTCACGTTCATCAAATGAAGGGCACGTGATTCTTGAGTGCGCGAGGAAATTTAAGTGTCCTTCATGCAGCTGATTAAATTTCAAGTATCGCCACTTAAACTTGTTTCTTCTCAGTAGCTTTAATTGATTCAACTTTTAGATGCTCTTTACTCTTGATTATGCGGACTTTAAAACTAGCATCACTTTGGATGCTGTTATAGAATGTTCCAACTTTCTAAAGGTCAAAGAACTTGGTAATCTGTTTGTCGCAAACATGCGACAGAGGTAGTCTTCTAGAAGACTCCAACCGAAGATCTTTGGATTTCGCGCTTCAATGCTTTACCACTCACTCCAAAGAAATGGGGGGTTCGAAGCTAGGAACTTCTATAAGCGACGGCCATAACAATGAAGACGCCTCAAAATAAAAGATCAATTAAGCAGATCAATAAGTTCAGCTCGAGCGTTTTAAAACTTCGAAAATTTCTAAGCAATCCTCTGCGAGACAAAAAAGTGGAATCACTAAACTTTGCGTGGCTCGAGAACAGAATCCCGACGGCAAATTATTTAACTTTCCATTTGGAACTTAACGCTACTCACATTCGTTATCCTGAAGTTGAGGCGTGGCGCGGTAAGAGTCGGTAAACACATCCAGACATTTACGAAACTCAAAAGAAAAATGCAAATTCATTTTAAACTCTTCCTCGAGGTTGCTGTCCTGACGGCCAAGAAAATACAGTTTAAGATTTGTGTCGTTATGGAAGTTTACATTCTGTTTGATGAACCTTGTAGAGGAATTTTTTTCACCTTTATTTTCAGCTTTGAAACTTGTTCATTTTAAGCCACAGCAATGAAAGCGATAGTCAGCTGAAATGATAATCGTACGACTAAGAATTTATTCTATGTCTTGTAAATCGGTTTTTGACGACTTTATTTTTAGTAAAACACGATAGTTTAAAAAATCTTTCGTGATAACAATTCACTGGTTTTAAGTAAAGTTTTAATTGTAATAATATTGTTTGCTCCAATATATATCAGGGCCAGTTTAACCATAAAAAACAGTATACAGAGTTTGCATTTATGTAGTCTGGGATTACGATTGATCCGGTTTCGAAGAAGTCTGCAGAGTTTGAAAATCCATGGATGGTAGCTAAATGTTATGTCAATGAAACTGCTTCTTCGTAGCTTGATGGCTGTGGTTCAGGACAGTTTACACAGTATGACGATGGGACAGCTTCAGTGTCATTAAAGTAGTAAAGAAATCTACTCTAAAAAATCTCTAAAAATCTCTAAAAAAAAAACTACTGGCCAGACTGGAGGAGGTGGCAAAACAAACGCAGAGGAATTTCCAGGATCTTGTGGCAGAATCGTATAAGGGGTTTCAACTTCTTCCGGAAATGAACCGTCGGGACTGTTTATTCGCCTATCTCGGAACGTTAGTATCACAATAATACATCCTCCAGAAATCAACAACGAGTAAGCAACTCCCATGAAAATCCATACCGACTTCAGATCTTCAGAAACGAAGGAAGGACAGCTTGGGCACTCTCTGTGTGGAACGACGAGCGTGATTAAGACTACACACAGAGCAATTCCACTGAGAAATAATGATATGGTTACGCCAGCTAAGCAATTTCGGCGTCCAATACGCCTCGATGATCGTGAGTCTTTTTGCTCTTTACTATTAGCAATCATCTTCACAGTTTCTCTTAATGATTGGTGGAGCAACGTGGAACTTTTATGCCGTGGGAATGTTATGCTTTCTTTCACTTTCCGAGAGATCCTGTATCAGCCTTTTCTAACAATAGGAAAGTTTTTTTTTTTTAATCCTCGGGCAAGATACCCGTAATTTCCGCATCCTTAAGATAACAATGTCTCAAAGGTTTGAGTTTCGTTTCCTCCTTAGGGATTTAGGTATTTTCTATGTCCCACTGTCGTGAAAACCAGCGAGTAGCATTTTTGGTCTTCATTCGATGACCTTCGTAGTTCACAATAATTGAGTTCACAATGTATATGAAAATATTACGCGCTTCTTAGTGGCTGAAAACGAATGCATTCTCATGTAAAGTTTCAAGGGGCGAAAATTGGGCAATAATTATTTGGTATGTTATTGCAACAAGTGTTAATGGTTTACAAGGGAATACTTAAATAAGTTGAAAATATTTTAGAAACAACTTTCGCAGGTTAATTACGTTGCCTTTGCATTTTGTTCACTCAGTGGTTTAAAGCCAGTAAAGCTTAGTAAGTAATTAAGCGAATAAGGTCTCACGAACTGCGCCGGTCATTGTAAATTGAAGCTGAAGGTCGCTGGCTCCATACCTCTAGCTGACCCATTTCGAGTTTCTTTTTTACTTCGAACGTTTCTTTTTTCATCTTTTTTTTCTACCAAATGCAATGACACACAATAACGTTGCGCCCTGGCGCGATTTTCCATAATGGGCCTCTAATCGCGTCAGATAGCAAACGCACGATTCGGCTCTTGTTGGCACTTACAGACAACTACAACTTATCTCAGAATATACCTTCCAGATATCTTACACCCTTTCCCTAAATATCGGCACACTAACAAAAACTGTCTATTTGTTTTGAAAAGTCCTAAAGGTAATCACAGTATTCAATTTCCGGATTTCTTGCAAAACACTACAAATAACATTTCAACAATAGACCCATTTCAAGCGTGACGTCACATCACGTGACTTTGCGAACTGGAGGACAAGCAAATGTAAACAAACTCTTGATTCCACTACGCGTTACGATCGAAGAGAGCAATAAGGTAAAATATTTTGAAGTTCTTGCACCATGGTTAACGGTGAACACTGTAACTCGGTTTGCTATTCACTACTGACCAGTAAGCTCATGTCCTTCAGGGAACTGTCTTCTATTCATTACTTTGAACTTAATGGCAAATTCTACAAAATTCAGGTTTAAAGTCTCAAATGAAAGGTCACACTTTTCCGATTTGCTTATACATCAAGAAGTGATGATCATCGTAAATGTTGCCTTCGTGATCCTGGAGATTACAGCGTATCCTTCTGTGTGAGTGTGAAATACGATGCAAGGCAATCAAGAATAGAGAACAATAACTCGAACCGCCAGCAACACTGCCAAGATCGATCTCGAACTGCGAGCAACACGTGCTGTGTGAAGTGCGTACAGGGTGGAATTTGCAGATCAAACAAATCACTAAGGCTCGCCAGCAAAAAGTGTGTGTACTGTTTAATTCCTATATTATTTTACAAGTCTTAAAAAACAATAACGCCAAGGGAAGCGATTCACTTGAAGACAAAATCCTTGCTTTATTTAAGGGTTCTGTTCAGTTCAGGAAAATAAACGCGGCTCTGTCTCTTAAGACTGAAACTGTAGTGCTGCGTCGGTGGGGGTTTGTCAAGATTATTTGGTTTTACTAACTGAGTTGATGATGTCATTTGGCAACAGAAGAGAGTTTTTATAGCTGACGTTTCAAGCGTTCGCCGTCGTCGGGGCAAATGTCGTTATGAACGCATATCAAATCATATGACTCATTGTAGGGTTTAAAGTTTATATCAAATCATCATATGAATACGTCGATCAATGATGTTATGTGCCCATCGCGGACCAAGAGGCACAAAAGCAAAAACCTCTTAACCCTACTAGTTCTTATGATGTTAGTTTGGAGAATTTGCATTGGATCAACTAATAATCTCCAAAATGATTTTTTTCGTTATTCTCATCACCTGTCTGCTTGACGTTGTATTGATACTGTTAGGAGAAATTCTGTCTTGGTCACTCATGCAGTCGGTGTCATCTTTTTATCTACACTTCCTGGGTAATTCTCTCTTCTTAAATGTTTGTTGACCCTGCTTTATTTTACATAAAGTTTACCTTTGGATTTACGATGATTTTTGAAGATACAACAAATAATTGCAATTCTATTTCAGATGTGATCACTCAGCAGGGATAATGATCTGCATCTGGACGAACGCTCGCCCATCTAGGATTACCAGCAGCACCGGTTGGATAAATCAATTTTGTAACAAAATATAATCAAGTGAAAAAAGAAACCATGTGATGTATGCTAATGACTATACTTTTGTTACCTTTACTTGACAAACAGTGGATGTTGTGTTCGTGAAACGTTCCTCTCCCTTAAACATGCGACTTCCAGATACCACCGTATGTGATCAGCACATGAAATTATTTGTTCATTTAACTGAATTTAAACCTGCGCTGACATTTACCGTCAAAAGTTATTTATTGATTCATTCACTTGTAGAAATTCTCCTAACCCTTTGGCCCCCAAAAGTGATTAGCATGAATTTCTCCTTACAATATCACGCCAGAATCACACATGAAGGTTATGAGAATAACAAAAATGATCGTCAACTGATGAAGCTCTTGATTGTTAAACAAATTCCCCTTGTCAGCACCTTAGGAATTGTAAAGAGAACAGTATGGAGAATATGCATACTGATGTTAGGGTGTAAAGGGTTACAAATGAAGAATAAGGCTCCATATGCTCATTGAGCAGAAGTGGCGCTATGTAGATACGGAACACTTTCTGAGTAAGAAAGCCTCGTCTGGGCTCTAATCTGTTATTATGCCCACAGGAAGCGATTCGATAACAAAGGCAATATGTGGGGTTTTTCACTATTTCTTGTTGAGTTCTTTAGCAATTTCCCAGGTAGAAACGAAATATACTCTTTAGATACTCTTTACTCTTGATTATCTGGACTTTAAAACTAGAATCACTTTGAGGTTTTTTCTTTTGCCGCGAGTCTTTTTTCCTTTACCGCGAGGTTATTTCTTTTGCCGTGACAGTTGTGGGCCTCAGTTAGACTGCTTTTTGTCTGTAAAAAAGTAAAAGAAAATATAGTACCTTATAAAAACCTTACCTTTTCCAAAGCTTGAACAGTAGTTGACGTCATCTGAAACTTTTTGCCCACAGTTACAGCAAAACATCTTTCTGCTGACCCCCTTCAAATGTTCCAAGATGGCGGGAAGTGATGATCAGCCGCTGAACCCTTTACTGCATTTTCTTATTCCATGGTGCACCTGGGCAACTCGTCCCAGCCCCCCATGCTCTCTTTTATGCCGTGAGGACAATTTTTTTTGCCTTGAGTCTTTCACTTTTGCCGTAATGTTATTCTTTTTGTGATGAGGTTTTTCTTTTGCCGTGACAGTTGTGGTTCCAACTTCCTAAAGATCGAAGAACGTGGTAATCTGTGGTAATCCAGTGCTTTATCACTCACTTCAAAAAAATTTGTGCGTTTGAATTAAACAAAATTCTATAATTTCTCACAACTTAATATTTAAAGAAAACTTAAACCTCCTGCGCCAACTCGCTCTAAATATCTTGTTCCATATTTATATTTACAGCATGATGGTTACACGCTTAATGATAGACATGGAAAAATTACTCAGTTCTGATTGGTTAAGATAAATGCAGTTTTCAGGTAATTCAGTGCAGAAGAGAGATAATTCAGTGCAGAAGAGGGTTAATTCAGTGCAAAGAAAGAAACAAATCAGACAGTCTGATTGGTCAATAATCAAAGAAACATAGCCAATCAAATGCGAGCCTTGGATGTCGCAACAAAATTTGAAAATTTGAAAATTTGCGAGCGAAACAATGGCCGGTGTTTTAAGTAGGTTTTCTTTCGCCACCGCTGCTGAAAAACAGCTTAAACAATGAAAACACTGTAAAAGGCGCTGCTTTTTGGTTGTCGGTTTGGAAAAAATGGTGTTTAGAGAGGGGAATTGCCAAGGAAATCGAAAATTACGAGCCGACCCGGCTTAACACTTTACTCGAGCGATCCAACGCCGAAATTAAAAACAAACATGGTTAAACCTGGGAAACGACGATTCCATTTCATCAAAAGTGATTCGGACACAGACTGAACAATTCCTTGAACTGTTTAGCCGGACTTTGAACTTTTTTGCACCTTAAAGATGCGAAGATATCATTGCATATTATTGTTTTGATCGTACGCAGTTGTTTTGACCAAACGCACGGTTTGAATAAATTATTTTTTGCACTTGATGCGCGCGCTTTGCTTATGTTTAATTATGCCAGACCATCTCGTATATTTCCATGTATATTATTAACAGGTTATCACATGATTTTTCTCGTGCAATTTGGAATAAACAAGCACTTGTTAATTTTTTCAAAGACCACAAATTGCAAACACAAAAATTTACTCGTGCTTATTTATTCCAAATTGCACTCGAAATCATGTGATTACCTATACAAATTAAGCAGGCATTCTGATTGTTCCTATTTCAGATCTATTGGAAGCAGACGCATAGATAACGCCACCATCAACTACATTTTGCTAATTCATCAGACAAAGCAAATAGGTTCCATGTTGCCGTAGGGCTGTTCATTAATAGCTTACAGAAGATGTTAAAATATGGTAAAAACATCAGTGACTCACTTGGCTACGCCGCCTTTTTGTTCTTACCACATATTTAAGTCATCTGTGATATATTATTGAAGAGAAGCACGGCACCATGAAATCTGTTTGTTACAAGCTAGGAACTTCTATAAGCGACGGCCATAACAATGAAGACGCCGCAAAATAAAAGATCAATTAAGCAGATCAATAAGTTCAGCTCGAGCGTTTTAAAACTTCGAAAATTTCTAAGCAATCCTCTACGAGACATAAAAGTGGAATCACTAAACTTTGCGTGGCTCGAGAACAGAATCCCGACGGCAAATT